CTCTTACCTTAGGTCTTTCCCTTTCTGTGCTGAAACCCTTGTATCTAGGTCATGGGAAATCTTCCTCTCTTGAATAGCAGCAATGGAATGAGAAGTTTGGTCCTTCCTACCCAGATCTCAGAGACTGGGGAGATAGCTGAAGGTAGAAGCATTTCTGAGTCAAGGCTCTTTGTCAGGAGAGGTCAGTGGCAGACATGTTTCTTAGCAACCTAACAGGGCTCTTAAATATAATAATAACTAGAAGCCCGTTGCACGAAGATTCGCGCAATAGGCCTTCCTTCCCCTGGCTGCTGGCACTGGTTTTCCTCTGGCACCCGGGACCCAGGCCTTTGGTCTGGCCGCAGCGGAGAAGCCAAGCCTCTTCAGTCTTCAGTCTTCAGTCTTTAGTCCAGCCGGAGCCTTCAGTCTTCGCTCTGCGCCTGCGTATGCAAATTAACCGCCATCTTTGTTGGGTTAATTTGCATACTCATCCGATTGGCTGGTGGGCATAGCGGAGTGACACCAATTTGCATGTTTCTCTTTTATTAGTGTAGATGATAATATAATAACAACTAACACTGAGATAGCACTTATCATACTGCCAGGAATTAGTCTAAGCTTTGGATATGCAGATAACTTATTAATCCTTAAATAACCCAAGGAGGTAAATACTATTATAAATTCTCTTTTTAAAAGAGGAAACTAAAGCCTTGAGAAGTTAAGTAACTTGTCCAAGATCATAAAAATGGTAAGTAACAAGGCTGGTATTTTGAACTCAGTTTGGTTCCAGAGTTCATCTTCTTTAACTGTAATACTACACCATCTCTTAGTGGAGCCCTGTTCTTCCTCATACTGAACCGTAGAACAAAGAAAGTTACTATTTTCTCTCTAGAATGCTAACATAACTAGTACTATGCTGGGAGAGAAGTTAATTCATTAGGAACTGTTGATGCCTTAGAGCAGCGGTTCTCAACCTGTGGGTCGCGACCCCTTTGGCGGTCGAACGACCCTTTCACAGGGGTCGCCTAAGACCATCCTGCATATCAGATATTTACATTATGATTCATAACAGTAGCAACATTACAGTTATGAAGTAGCAACGAAAATAATTTTATGGTTGGGTCACAACATGAGAAACTGTATTTAAAGGGCCAGAAGGTTGAGAACCACTGCCTTAGAGTATTAGGGCTTACTTCTTGAGGAAACCCAATTGATAAAGATTAAAGGAGCTGTAGTTTGCAAATATATTTATATAAAGTATTCTGGAACTAATTTATCTTTACTTTGTTTTGGAACCAGTTTTGAACTCTGAACAAAAAGGACCAAACCTAATACATCAAACCTGTAGCGATAGAGCCTTCATCAGAAGTAATGTCTTACCATTAACAATTGAGAAGAGCAGCAGGTTGGCTTATGATAGTGGTTACTAAGATTTGCCAAGCTGAGGTGACTTTCAGCAACTCAAGTGCTCAGACCCCTATTTATTTATAGAAGTAGTCACTGCTTCTTTCCCACCATCCTTTTCCTTTGTTTCTTCAAATTCCCCCAAGTTTCAAAATCCCAGAGGTCACTTGGCAGATATCCAGTTGCCCTCTGGGAGAGTTTAACTATGGACCTAGACCTTTCCTTTTGGTCTATTTAAAAGGTTACTCATAGATATTATTCTACTTCCAACAAAAAATTATGGAAGGTCTGGCCCTACATTTATAATAGACTTGTGAATAACTTGGAGTAATTATAATGGACTAGAGGCCCAGTGCACGGAATTTGTGCATGGGTAGGCTCCTTAGGCCTGGCCAGTGATCAGGGCTGATCGGGGCCTTCCTTCTCCTGGCTGCTGGCTGCCGGCCAGGGGCTTCCTTCATTCCGAGCCACACCCTGGTGGTCAGCGCACGTCATAGTGAGCAGTTGAACTCCTAGTCCCGTGTTGGGCAAACTGCGGCTCACGGGCCACATGCGGCTCTTTGGCCCCTTGTGTGGCTCTTCCACAAAATACCACGTGTGGGTGCGCACGTTCAGTGCAATTGAAACTTTGTGGCCCATGCGCAGAAGTTGGTATTTTGTGGAAGAGCCGGTATTTTGTGGAAGAGCCACACTCAAGGGGCCAAAGAGCCGCATGTGGCTCGTGAGCCGCGGTTTGCCGAGCCGCAGTTTGCCGACCACTGTCCTAGTCGGTCAAATGCCCAAGGGAACAATTTGCATATTAGCCTTTTATTATATAGGATTTCCCTCCCAGCTCCTAGCTTATTAAATAATACTAAATATGTATTGCTGGCACTGCTTTCTCCACAGCATATAAAATTATATGTAGGGAAATACTAGCAGGTTACACAGTAATATATTCTTAAACTGCTATAGGGATGGATGCTCGATGTGTATGAGGAGAAATGATGCTAGTAAGAGAGTAGAATGAGGAAACAGTTCCTACTTGAAATGAGCAGAACGAGGTTTAGTCCCGTTTTGTTCTAGCCAGTTATATTACCTTAAGAAAAATGTTCACCTTTTCTAGCGAATTCTTTACCTGCTTTAAAAAGAGAAAGAGAGAGAGAGAGAGACTTGGCCGGTGTGATTCAGTGGTTGAGCATTGACCCATGAACCAGGAGGTGACAGTTAGATTCCCAATCAGGGCATATGCCTGGGTTTTGGGCTCAATCACCAGTAGGGAGGGTACAGGAGGCAGCTAATCAGTGATTCTCATCATTGATGTTTCTATCTCTCTCCCTCTTCCTTCCTCTCTGAAATCAATAAAAACATATTTTTAAAAAGAGGGGAGACTTAAAAATATATTCCCTGCCTTGGTCGGCCTGCGGACTCAAGGGCCCCAGGTTCGATTCCAGTCAAGGGCATGTACCTTGGTTGCGGGCACATCCCCAGTAGGGAGTGTGCAGGAGGCAGCTGGTTGATGTTTCTCTCTCATCGATGTTTCTAACTCTCTATCCCTCTCCCTTCCTCTCTGTAAAAAGTCAATAAAATATATTTTAAATAAATAAATAAATAAAATATATATTCCCTTAATAATATCTACCCACATCACATGATTGATTAATTTGTTCAATTCTTCATTTATTTATTTAAAACTAGTTATTGGTTGCCCTCTGTATGCCAGTACCTTTCAAGGTGCTGGGAGGATAGCAGGGAATTAAAGGACAGAAATTTATGTCCTCATATTTATATTCTAGAGAGTGCAATCAGACAATAAATATGTAAAATACATGCTATGACAGATGGTAATAAGTGCCACGGGGAAAAATAAAACTGGCAAGGGTGGGAGATTTAGGAAGAGGGGGTGGAGTTTGCAATTTTAAATAGGGTGATCAGGAAATACTATATTGAGAAGATAATATTTGGATAAAAACCTGAAGGGAATCAGTGACTGAGCTACTGAAAAGTCAAGTAAAATGAGGACCAAGAATTGACCATTCTAGGTGGGTGGGGCCTTTTATTCTTAGATCACTTAGGTAGGTTTATAAAGTGAAACTATAAACTATAGACTTATGGCCTCATTAGTAAGTCTGAAAAATGACCCTGGGATTTTTTTATATGAAGAAGTTACTGGCAAGAATTTTAAGCAAATGACATTCTTTGGACTGTTGATATGTAACTCATTGTTGAGTGAGGTGTTTATCTGGGTGGTTGAGTGAGGATCTGGGCCATGAGCTGCGGCTGTCAAGAGTGCATTCTAGTCTCTGTGGGTAAGATTCAATACCACTTGGGAAGGACTCATCAAGCCAGGTGCTACTTGTTGCCACTCTTTGTTTCCATTCTGTGGACATAACACTCATCATTGTTTCAGATGTAGGTAAAGATGGAGACGACAGATGCATTTAATTACACCAAAATAAAAAACTGCTGCACATAAAAGACACCAGAGACTGGAATAAGATATTTGCCACAGTAATACTTACAAAGACCTAGAAAAACCAAATGTAGCTAGAAAGAATAAAATGAATCAGTCTGATTGTATTAATTGCTGATAAGGATATGGGGAAATTTATTTATATTCATTCACTGGTGGAAGTAAAAGTTTGCACAGACTTTATAATAGCAAAAAATTGGAGACTGCCAAAATATCTGCCAATAAAGAGATGGATAAATACGTGTGGTATCGTCACCTGATAAAATACAACACTGCAGGGAAAAGGGATAAACCAGGTATATATATTATATCATTATGGGTAGATTTCAAAACAATGCTGAATTTTTTTAAAAAGTGAAATTCAGTGTGATACTTTGTACATGAACAAAAAATACACACACACAAAAGTATATATGTGAAATACTTGTACTTTTATTTATTAATTATTGTATTATTTTCTATATGAACAACTGTAATCCTTTTAACCCACTCTGTGTATATATATCCCTAAATATACAGAGTGTTTATATATGTATATGTATATATGTAAAAGTATTAAAAACAAAAGATTATGCAACAAACTCATGATAGTGAGTGGCTGGTAGAGAGTGGGCAGTCTCGAATGGGACGTTAGCTTTATTCTGTAGATTGGAAGTAAAAATGATGGAATGTTTATTTCTTGGTGTTAGACATGTAGGTGTTTGTTATATTATTATTTGCACTTTTGGGTAATTTTGAATTAGCTAAACAATTAAAAAAGAAGGGATCCAAGTTTCATAGAATGAGCCCCCAGAGAATAATTTACCAATCCACTTACATATAATTTATCTCTATTTACTGAAGAACACCCACCTCTGTCTATATCAGAGGAAGTGAGGTGATTGAATTGTATTAACTCATGACAGTGGTCTCTCCTAATGTGCCTTTGATGGTATCATACTCAGTTGGAAGAGCAAGAATCCTTATTCTTATTAGGATCATGCCCTTTATTCTGACTCATTTTTTACTTTTTATTTTTTATTACTAACTGCAAGCATATCAACCTGTAGGAGGTACATTTGGTTCCACAGCTATGAGCATGGAGTTGCTAGCATGACAGACTGGGATGTTTAGAAGCTTAATAACAGCATTGTGCTTTTCCCCTTGTCTAACCTCTTCCCTGCAGGGAATCTTTAACCAGTTTCAGTGTAGTAGCGAAAAAGTCCTTCCGTCTGACACTCTCCGCAGTGCTCTGGCAAAGACTTTCCAGGATGAACAGCGCTTCCAGCTGGGAATTATGGATGATGCTGCGGAGTGCTTTGTAAGTGCTGGCCTCTGGCCTCTCTTTGATTTGGGGTGGGACTATTGATGGTCTCCATCAGGGATTGGCTACTGTATTGTGGCTACTTACTGTGCCCCTGGTCTGTACAGTTAGAACTAGACATTTCCCTAGTTTCTCAGAGCTCAAGGGTATCCCTGCTAATGCAGTATGAATAGCTTCGCAGGTTTACTCTTTTTCCTTTAGGCTTAGGGTAGTTACGTGCTTGCCATTGCATAAAACAGTGCTGTCATCTTCAGGGCAGACAGGGCTCATTAAAATACAAATTCCTGGCTCCTATCCCCTTGAGGTTATGATTCAATAGTTCTGGAATAAGGCCCCAAAATATCTATCTCTGACAAGTGCCAGGTGATGCTAACACTGATGCTACTGGTTTGGGGACCACACTTTGAGAACCCCTGTATTTAATTACTAAAGATAATTAAACAGAGAATAACTGAATTCTTAGCACAAGTGTAATGTGCTGTTTGGATAACTACATTTCTCCCAGTGATTTTCGGTAGAAAACCCTAACTCTTTTGACCTCTGGGTTCTATCCATCAACCTCCAAAAGACTGTGCATTTATTAAACAACTCAAAATGATATACATCCCATTACAGGGTAAAATGTAGGCCAAAATCAGAGGTACCCCTGAGAATCTGGATCACTGCTGTATTGCTGGTGGGATTATAAAATGATAATGCTACTTTGGATAAGTTTGGCAGTTTCTTAAAAAATGAAACTTGAAAACTACCATATGATTCTGCAGTTGCCTTCCTGGACCTGTATCCCAGAGAAATGAAAATTTATGTTCATACAAAACCTGTATATGAATATTCATAGAAGATTTATTCATAATAGCCCCAAACTGGAAACAACCCAGATGCCTTTAATAGGTGAATGGTGTTACAAACTGTGTACGGCCACACTGTGGAATACTATGCAGCAATAAAAAGGAATTAACTCTTGATTTATGTAGTCTTCAGGATGGATCTGAAGGGAATTATGCTGAGCCTGGCCGAGTAGCTCAGTTGGTTAGAGTGTCAGCCTGATATGCCAAGGTTGTGTGTTTGATCTCTGCTCAGGGTATATACAGGAATCAACCAGTGAGTGCATAAATAAGTGGAACACTAAATCAATGTTTCTTTCTCTTAAAATCAATCAATAAAAATTTTTTAAAGGGAATTATGCTGAGTAAAAAATACAATAGCAAAAGATTATATATTATAATCCCATTTATGTAGCATTTTATTTTTTAAAAAAATATTTTTATTGATTTTTAGAGAGAGAGTAAGGGAGAGGGATAGAGAGATAGAAACACCGATGAGAAAGGAACATCATCGATCAGCTGCCTCCTGCACGTTCCCTACTGGGGATCGAGCCGAAATCTGGGCATGTGCCCTGACTGGGAATCGAATCGATGACCTCTTAGTTCCTGCGTCAATGCTCAGAGGCTGAGTTATACTGGCTGGGCTAGCATTTAAAAAATAACAAATTTTTTTAGAGAATTTGGAGAATTCTATTGGAGAATCTATTTGGAGAATAGATCGGTGTTTTCTAGGGATTAGGATTGGAATTGGGTGGGTAAAACGATAAAAGAATAGCATGAGGGAGCCTTGTGGGGGTGGGACAGTTTTATATTTTGATTATGATTGTGGTTCCATGACTCTATACCTGAGATAAAATTGTACAGAGCTACACATAAACACAAATGAGGAAACCTGAATACACTCTGGATTGTATTGATGTCCATTTCCTGGTTTGGATATTGTATTATAATTATGCAACATGTTACCATCGGAGGAAACTGGGTGAAAGGTACATTTGAATTCCTATATAATTTTTTTGAAACTTCCTGAGAATTTATAGTTATTTCAAATTAAAGAGTTAAAAAAATCAGAAGTATTCCTATCTTCCAGAAGGATTGCTATTTCTCTGAGTAAACTGACAACCAATTTGTACATTTGTCTATTAAGTATTGTTGATATACTGCTTCTGTTCTTTCCCTATTAGGAAAACCTGCTGATGAGAATTCACTTCCATATTGCTGATGAAACCAAAGAGGATATATGTACTGCCCAACACTGCATCTCCCACCAGAAATTTGCAATGACATTGTTTGAGCAGGTGAACCTTATTTCTATCCCAATCACTTAAAAAAAAAAAAATTATATATATATATATATTATAGATTTCAGAGAGGAAGGCAGAGGGAGAGAGAGTTGGAAACATCAATGATGAGAGAGAATCATTGATTGGCTACCTTCTGTATGCCCCCCACTGGGGATTGAGCCCAGAACCTGGGTATGTGCCCTGACCGGGAATCAAACCATGACCTCCTGGTTCATAGGTTGACGATGCTCAACCATTGAGCAACACTGGCTGGACCCCATCACTTCTTATACCTTTTCTTCAAGGACACTTTATCCTGAGATGTGGGGTGTTAGATGGGTGCCAAAACAATGAATGACTGTGGCTGTTTGGTTTTGCTTTTTCCTTCCTGGGCCCAGTGTGTATGTACTAGCTGTGGCGCCACGTCTGATCCGCTGCCTTTCATCCAGATGGTGCATTACATCTCTACCACTTCCCTTTGGTGAGTCTTACAGGGTTCTCTGTCCCCTGAGGCATGCATACAGTTAATTGGGTTTTAACTGGAAGCATCCAAGTAGCTTATATCCTTATTGCTGAGTCTATGCTATAATGTAGGAACTCAGAACTATAATTTTAAAATAACCTTTGTTCTCCTTCTTTTCCATCCCTCATTTTTTCCTAGGCTTAGTTCTGTCCAGCAAAGTGGGAGGAGGAAGGGGGATTCTATGAGCTTTGGATTTGGGGACAGGCAGAGGCACTCACTGTGTTTGTGGGACACTGAGGCTGGTCAGGACACGGGCCTTCAGTTTAGTGGGCAGAGGAAGAAAGTCAAACATATGAGTTAGGAGTTTGCGTGAATGATTGATTTGATTTAGTTGTAACTCTCACCATCATCACCCTTTTATTCCCCATCTTGAAGCAATCAGGCTATTTGTATGCTGGAAAGACGAGAAAAACCCTCCCCAAGCATGTTTGGTGAGTTGCTACAGAATGCCAGCACCATGGGGGATCTCCGGAACTGTCCGGTGAGTAAGTCAGTGGTGGGGTTTGGGTAGAGAGGGGAACCCTGGGATTAGTGGAATTGAAGTAGAGCCAGTGGGAAACACGTCAAACTAGCCTTATATATGTATTTCAGAGCAACTGTGGAGAGAGGATTCGGATTCGCCGTGTGTTGATGAATGCTCCACAGATTATCACAATTGGACTGGTATGGGACTCGGACCATTCAGACTTGGCAGAGGATGTCATTCATAGCCTGGGTACCTGCCTTAAGTTGGGTGATGTGAGTGTTAGTTTAACTCTTAGAGTTTTTGCGTCTTATTCTTGCTCAAAGGTGTGAACACTGAACACAAAAGTATATCCTAAATGACAAATATTACAGAGTTTTGGACAATCATACTTGTGTACAGTAATCCCCCCTTATCCATGGTTTCGTTTTCTGTGGTTTCACTTACCCACAGTCAACCATGGTCTTGAAAATATTAAATGGAAAATTCCAAAAAATAAGCAATTTGTAAATTTTAAGTCACATGTAGTTCTGAGTTGTATGGTGAAATCTCACCCTGTTTTCACTCCCTGCTTCCTGGGAATTGGATAATCCCTTTGTCCAGCGTATCCACACTTTTATGTATCTGTACATATACATATACCAGTACATATAAATGTACATATACTGGTACATATACATATACAGTGATTATTACAGTGCAGCAGTGTTTATATTCAAGTAACCGTTAAAGTAGCCTAATGTTACATCACAGTGTCGACCTATGTCATTCATTTCACTTCTTCTCATTAACTAGTTATTGTATCATCTTACATCACAAGAAGGGTGAGTGCAGTACAAGAAGATTTTGAGAGAGGGAAAGACCACATTCATATAACTTTATTGCAGTATATTGTTATAATTATTCTACTTTATTATTAGTTATTATTGTTCATCTCCTCTGTGCCCAATTTATAAATTAAACTGTAAAGGAAAAAAACATAGTATATATAGGGTTTAGTACTATCTGCAGTTTCAGACATCTGCCAGGGAAGTCTTGTAATGTTATCCCCTGTAGATAAGGGACACTACTGTATATGTATATGCATATATGTACATGCATATAAATATTCACTTACCTCCTTTGGGTAGGCAGCAAAGGCTTTTTATAAAAAGTGGGATGGCCATGGCCTTGAAAGACAAGATAGGCCGAGCTTAGGTACTGGTAAAAATCATGCAATTTATAAAGTTTATAAAATTTATAAAGTGTGCTCTACTCACTATTAGTTCATACCACTGTAGAACAGGGAGTTGTATTCAACCACGGGAGGTTGTAAGGTCAAAGAAGTGAGCAATCCTGACTAAAGCTGCTTTGGGGGGTCACGGAGGTGAAAGTTGGTGACTTGAGTCCTACAGTACGAAATTCACAGTGAGGAACCAATATCTGTTGAGAAGGTAATGAGGTAGCTTGGCAGAGCATTTGGTGGGTTAGTGGTTTTCCGTGGGTCTATTTAGGAAAATACACAGGGGAACAGACGTCACACCTGGGGGCTTAACCTCATCAGCTCCATGCCCCAGTGTAGGGACAGCCATGGTTTTCCTTTGGTTCCAGAGAAGAACCAGAAACTCTGTGGTTTTATTTCATAGTTTTGCTCTGGGATAGTACTATGACTAAGAAGATCCCTATTGTTGTGTTTTAGTTTCATTAAACCACTACTGAGAATAAGTGAATTCTTTGTGATCTTATTTTAGGTCTTCTTCCCAAGAAATCTTTGACATGGGTAGGCTATATATAACAAAATCTCCTTTTTCTAAAATTCTGTAGCCTACAGTATATTCTGCACTGTTCTAGTTTTATTTTTATGATTGTTTTTCCAACCAAATAAGTTCCTCATGCAAGAATAATTTTCTTCATTTTTTTTCTTTGTAAGTCCCTTTGCACCTAGGACATGTGTTGGACATGTAGGAATTGAAGTGCTGGTATTGCTTCTCCTAAGGGCTTTCTTACCCCCTACTTAGGGACTCAGCAGGAAATTTATATTTGTGGTGCCAGCTGATAAATAACTTTTGAAACTTGAGAATGTTTTTGTTTTTGTTTTGTTTTGTCAACTTTTTCTGACTCCTCTTGTGATCGGCCCTATCAAGAAAATATTATTGGGAGTTATGGGGGAACATCACCACCTTACCAGTTACTGGCCACTATTTTGCTTTTCCCTACATTTTGCCTTTTTGGGTTCATTTCTGATGACTAATTGGATTAGCAAAAAATCTTATACTGATGGGCAGAAAAGCAAGTCAGTATCTTAAGAAATGATGGAGTCAGTCTGCTGGCAGATGTGAGAGGGTTATGTCACTGCTCTTTCCTTTCTCTTCTTTCCCTGCAGCTATTTTTCAGAGTGACAGATGACCGGGCCAAGCAGTCTGAACTGTACTTAGTAGGAATGATCTGTTACTACGGCAAACATTATTCTACATTCTTTTTCCAAACAAAGATCCGCAAATGGATGTATTTTGATGATGCTCATGTCAAGGAGGTAGGAATATTCAAGCCCTGCTTAAAGTGTTTGGTGACTGCAACAAAAAAACTAAGGATAACTATTTATCTTCAGTGTTTTATTTTCATAATTTTAATGTCTATCACTTATCTATTGGATTTATGAGAGTATTAGTCTTGTCTTCCCCAATAAATGGCAAGTTCCTCAAGGACAGGATGAATATACCTTCTGTTATTGTCTCTAAATGCCTTCACATGGCATTCAGCACAGTTAACATTTATATTGACAAATTATTTTTTAAAATGTGTTAATTAATTGATTTGAGCGACAACAGTCTAGTAAATCAGATTAGATTATAAGGATAGCAGCAAGTTCAGAATTCCAAATTTTGGAATTATTAGTGGGTAATACTTTATCTCAGGCTGCTATAAAATAGTATCTGATTGTTAGCTCCCTGAAGTACCCTATCACCAATTAACATGATTTTGAGATAGCATAGAAAAAATGGGGCTATGATAATATTTAAAGCTGGAAACTTGGTACTCTCTAAACCAGTGATGGTGAAACTTTTGAGCTCAGCGTGTCAGCATTTTGAAAAACCCTAACTTAACTCTGGTGCCATGTCACATATAGAAAGTTTTTGATATTTGCAACCATAGTAAAACAAAGACTTATATTTTTGATATTTATTTTATATATTTAAATGCCATTTAACAAAGAAAAATCAACCAAAAAAATGAGTTCGTGTGTCACCTCTGACACGCATGTCACAGGTTTGCCATCACTGCTCTAAACCACAGAGTCTGGATGAAATAGTTTAGGTGATTTGCATGAGTTAGAAAGACAGTTGTGATTAGGTCAGCAGCTAGGAGACTACTTAGACATTCTACACCAATCCATGGACCTTAAGCAGCATCTTCCACAAATAGTAGTCTTTGTCAAATTCTCTTCTTCATCTCTTTTTTGCTGTTGTCATTTCGGGCAGCATATAAATTCTTTGAGCTTTAAGTTTTGTTTATTTTATTTTATTGATTTTGAGAGAGAGAGAGAGAGAGAGAGAGAGAGAGAGAAACATTGATGTGAGAGATAAATATTGGTGTGTGAAAGAAATATTGATGTGAGAGTGAAACATCAATCAGCTCCCTCCCCGTGACTGGGAATCAAATTTATACAGGATGACACTTGGACCTTACCAGCCAGAGTTAGGATTTTTATTTGAATAATGCTACATGCCTTATAAGATCTTATATAAGAAGCATATAAATGTGTTTTAGTTAAAATAATGATAACCCAGTTATAAATTTACTAAACATCTATTATAAATCGGACTATGATAGTTATCTGACTCCAAGAATACACCTAACATTGTTATTAGTTTAAGCTTGAGAGAGGGTGACTTTGAGGATTTGACTGGGTTGTTATTTCCTTGGCTATTCAGGTACTTTTCCCACTGCCATGGCAGCATTGAATCCAGCACAAAGCTAAGGCAGAGAGGTCCAGATGTCTGTTCTAAGCAGTTTGACGTTTTATGTCCTGCCATGTGTGAACTCTGACACAGAATGTCATATTCTAAGGCAGCCTGTGAAAGGGTTTCTGTCTGTTCTTTAGCTTCCTAAAAGTGATTTTAATATTTAGAAGAAATTTTAGAAAAGCAAATTTCAAGAAAGGGCTTTGACTTGATGTCTGTGAAAAGGAAAAGATCACCAAGGCAGCTGATGTCCCCTCACATAGCAAATTCACCTTTGAGAACTGTTATTCATATTTCACAACTGAATTGATGTTTCATGAGAATAAAAGTAATTTTATTCATCATTCCTGTCTTTTATAGGGTTTTAATGCTTTCTAAAAGGATTTAACAAAAAAATTTATTAAGTGTAGCTATAAGATCTCTGTTGTGTCTCTTTACCTGATTCTTGTCTTTTCATATTTTATTTTCTTTAGAGAAACAGAACAGGAAGTTATATTTTGAATTGTTGGTATGAATTATAATTGTTATGTTCTTCTGATTGTTTTTGGTTCAGATTGGGCCCAAATGGAAGGATGTGGTGACCAAATGCATCAAGGGGCATTACCAGCCTTTGCTGCTGCTTTATGCAGACCCGCAGGGTACCCCAGTGTCCACCCAGGACCTGCCTCCCCAAGTTGAATTCCAGTCATACAGTAGGATGTGCTACGATAGTGAAGATTCAGGTGAGAAGCCCAGCTCTTACCTCCCCCTTTCTCTCTCCAATGTGATCATTGCATATTTGGGACTCTTGACCATGAGCCTAGCACATAACCAGCTTGGAGAAAGAGGACCCATTAGAGCAGCGGTTCTCAACCTGTGGGTTGCGACCCCTTTGGGGGTCAAACAACCCTTTCACAGGGGTCGCCTAAATACGTCCTGCATATCAGATATTTACATTACGATTCATAACAGTAGCAAAATTACAGTTATGAAGTAGCAACGAAAGTAATTTTATGGTTGGGGGTCACCACAACATGAGGAACTGTATTAAAGGGTCGCAGCATTAGGAAGGTTGAGAACCGCTGCATTAGAGAAAAGAGGAAATGCCAACTCATGCTGAAGCCCAACTTGCTCCAGGCTTTTTTTCCTTCAGCCTCCAAGAATGCGTTGCCTGTATTCAGTGCAGCCCCAGTTCAAAAGTTCAAGGGAAATTATGTTGATTGAGACTGATAATAAATTTGTGAGGGAAACCTCAGCATTTAACCTTATAATATTGGTAAACATGACAGATTTTTACTAGCAATTTAACAGTGACTTAAGAGAGTTAAGACCAGGAGAAATGATATGTTACTACAAAGGTAGTCATATTGTTAGGGAAAAGAGATTTTTGTTTTAAAATGCCAAGTGCTGTAGTGATATTCTTCAGCTTATGAATCAGTTGTTTACTTCGAATTCAGTTGTTTGGAACCCAAATTATATTTTTCTGTAGAAACAATTTGCCACTTGATGGTTAGTCTCAGGTTAGCCCACAGAGGCTCATAATACATTAGAAATATAGCCCTAGTGGTTTTGGTTTGATTTCTTAAAAGGAGGAAAAAGAAATGTTCTTCCTCATTTCTATTTTTAGGGCTGGCCCTAAGTATAATTTTGAAAGAGAAGACATTTGTCTTTGGATTCTCTTTCCTTCCCTTTTGTATCTCCATCCTGGTTGGTAACTGGTGTTCTTCCCACCTTTGTAACCCCACCCAAACTTGCTCTACTTCTCTCTTCAATCAAACACCGATTTCCACTACTTATCTTAGCTAGGTGTTTAGAGAAAAGTAGTCTAATTCACACTAAAGTATAAATAACAGCCCTATTAACTTCTCAGATATTAAAAATGCTTATAATGTCAATTAAAAAATTTTAAGTGACATTTCTGACAGTATAGGAGAAAACTTAGAGGATAGTGGTTATATATGCTAGGTCAGCCTGGGACTCTTTATCTAAGTAGATTTTATTTTTCACACCTTTTTCCTTTCTTCCACTTTTCCCCCCATAGGTTTTCTAAAAGCCCCAAAGTTTTTCACAGTGGCAGGCAAAGTGAGGGCTTCAGCAAGGTAGGGGCAGGAGTGGGAAGAATTGTTTGTGTGTCTGGGTTATCTGGAAGTTGGGTGTTGGGAAGAATGGCTCTGGTATATCCTTTTCATGTTCCATCTAGGACTTTCTTGCCTTGTGGATCTTTGTTGCCATCCAGCTCTTTGCCCCCTCTCTACCACTGTCCTTCTCTCTTTCCTCACTTTTGCCTATGTGTCTCCTCCTTCTCTCAGGGAGGGAGCCCTCCATCTCAAGTGATACTCGAACAGATTCCTCAACGGAGAGCTATCCCTACAAACACTCCCACCATGAGTCTGTGGTCAGTCACTTCTCTTCTGAGTCTCAGGGGACAGTCATCTATAATGTGGAGAATGATTCCACGTCTCAGAGCAGTCGGGACACAGGTAGGGACTTACGCAGTGGGTCCTGCTTGTTCCTGCTTAGAGTGTATCCAAGAAAAAGAAACTGGGGCAAGTCAGAAATGTTTGTCATGCAAAGGGAGGAAGGCACAGAACATGGGTAATTGAGTGGGATCGAAAGAAGCAACACAGTTCTGAATAAATGATGATGTTCCATTGCATATATTCCTGTCAACAGCAGCATATCAGTAAGGACCATTGTAATGTGATTATTGATGTGATTGTTTATTCTGAAATCTGCTTTTCTCCTGCTATGCTCTTAATCCCCACCCTCCTAATAATGCTCCATTAAATTATTGTGGTCTTGTACCTCATAAGGTTCTCATGCCAGGCTTTGTCCCAAGTTAAGGGCTTTGAGCGGAGGGGCGTGTTATAGGCAGGGGTACCTGCTTATCACTTGCTAGGCTTCCTGAAGAACAGAGACACAAAAGAATGAAAACTTGCTTTTTGTTGTTGTGAGTTCCATGCATAGAACATTTTTAAATTTTTTTGTTTATGGAGAGTGTGCCAGTGTCAGTGGAAAAAATCAATACAGGGCATAAAAGGAAGAACAGTGAATAATTGACTGCTGAGATGAAAGGGTAATCACCCAAGGCTTAGAGAACAATGCCCATACTTTTAGAAACTTGGGGATTAATGAGCTCATGGCTTCAAATTGGGGTTTATATTTTGTGCATGGCCTTTTAAAAAAAATAGAGAATTTCAAATATATTCAGAAGTATACCGAATAGCATACTACTCCTCCACATACCCATCACCTATTTTCAATAATTATAACTCATGGCCAATCTAGTTTTATCTGTACCTCTACCCACTTCCCCCACTCCCAGACATGTCACTTTTTTCAGAAATATTTTAGTATGTATCTCTAAAATATAAGAAATAATTTTTAAACATACCATTAGCGCAGTTAAAAATATTAACGATTCCTTTAAACCCTAAATAATCAATAAGTGTTTAAATATCAAATTTTCTTTTAAATATCATAACTTTTTAATGGTTTATTTGTTTGCTTGACTCAGAATTGAAATCAGATCTACACATTGCAATGGGTTGATAAGTCTTTTGAATTTCTTTTACTCTGTAGGTTTCTCCTCTGTTTTTTCCTTGCAATTTATTGTTGAAGAAGTAGGCAGTTTGTCCTATAGATTCTGCAATCTAAATTTTGTTGATTATGTTCCTGTGGTAAACTTTAGCATGTTTCTTTGTGCTCTGTGTTTTTTGTAAGTTGGTAGTTGGACCGAGAGCAGTGATGGCGAACCTATGACACGCGTGTCAGAGGTGACACGCGAACTCATTTTTTTGGTTGATTTTTCTTTGTTAAATGGCATTTAAATATATAAAATAAATATCAAAAATACAAGTCTTTGTTTTACTATGGTTGCAAATATCAAAAAATTTCTATATGTGACACGGCACCAGAGTTAAGTTAGGGTTTTTCAAAATGCTGACACGCCGAGCTCAAAAGGTTCGCCATCACTGACCTAGAGGTTTGTTCAGATTCATGTTGAATATTTTCAATGATATTGCACAAATGACTACTTCAAAGTGTGATATATTTTCTTTTTTTAATCTTCACCCGAGGGTTTGTTTATTGATTTTTAGAGAAAGAGGAAGGGGGAGAGAGAAAGAGAGAGACATCAATTGGTTTCCTCCCGTATGCACCCTGACCGGGATTGAACCTGCAACGTAGGTAATGTGCCCTGACCGGGATTTGAACCTGCACCCTTTTGGTGCATGGGATGACATTCTAACCAACTGAGCCATCCACCAGGGCAATGTGATATTTTTAAAACCATATTTCTGATACTGTGAACCATGGAGGAATTAAGTCACAGGATAAATAAAGCATATTTTCCAGGAGAATCAGGTTTATGTTAAGGTTTGTAAATGGCTGAGGGTAGGGGAACATATCCCCATTGGTTTAGTATTTGTAGTTCTAGTAGCTCCAAGTGATTTCCTTATTTCTTAAATCCTTCTTATGGGTCCAGAGGTAGCAAGGGATCAGATAAAAGCAATAAAAGATTGCACTGGAAAATATAGCCATATCATTATATTGCTGCTACCTGAATAAGTAATTGTTCTAAGTCTGTCTTCCAATTAAGTTCAGTTGCTTAATTCACCTCTGGCCTCCAGCAGCTTAGATGATTATATCCTTTATAATCTGACCTTTGCTGTTGTCAAATCACCCTCGTACATTCACATACACTGGGCATGAAGTAAGGCAAGTTCCATAAAAAGCCCAGACCTCCTGGGTTTCCCAGCAATTAGTATTGAGGAGCTGTGAAGTATAATCTCTGGGTTTTGCCAATTTTGGTGAAGCATGGTTGGGGTTGAGAATGAAAATTATTCAAAGTTCAAATGTTCTTTTAAATGACTCACATTTAAGGAAGGTATGGAACTGGGTCTTAAAGCCATACACAGTCAGAGCTCTTATGAGCAGAGGCTGAAACACCTGGGATAATACCAGATATAATAAAAATTAGACTTGATATGTGTTGCTAAATAAGTAAAAGGAAAGCTCTGTGTTCTACTTATGAGAGTGAAAATATATCGGTACATGACATTTTTATGCAATCTTTAAAACTTTCACCTTTTAATAAGTATCAAATAATAGGCCCCTCAGGTTACTGGGAACATTTATGAGTGGGATTGAGACTGGTAATTGCTCAGGAAACTTGTAAATTTGGAAGCTCCCATTAACTACTTGAGCTTCTTTGCATTTATCTGTTGAGAGATTCCTGCTACACTTAAATCAGGTAGCCATGGCCCTTTCAGCTTTCAGCCATGGGTACACTAAATTTGTGCCACTGCCATGAATCCCAAAGGGAGACTAGTTTCTCAAGAGGATGGAGGTCAGTCTCAGATACCAGCTTACCCCCATTTTCTTGTTCTTTTAGGGCACCTGACTGATAGTGAATGTAATCAGAAACTCACATCCAAGAAAGGGTCGCTGATAGAGCGCAAGAGGAGCTCTGGCCGGCTTAGGAGGAAAGGCGATGAGCCACAGGCCTCAGGCTACCACAGTGAAGGCAAGCCACTCTGCATTGCTTCTCTCCTAAATCCAAACTTGTCACACTCCAGACCATGGCTTCTCTTTTCTGCTCAAAGGGCTTTCCTTGCTTTCTTAACTTTGGGATCTGGTATCCATGAGCACCTTAAACATTTATATTTGTTTCATTCTTTGTATTTTTAGGAGAAACACTGAAAGAGAAGCAGGCTCCTAGGAATGCCTCTAAACCATCCAGCAGCACCAACAGACTAAGGGATTTTAAAGAGACAGTCAGCAATATGATCCATAACAGACCATCCCTGGCTTCTCAGACCAACCTAGGGTCTCCCTGTGGGGGGAAAGGAGGAGACCAGATGGACAGAAAACCTCCCAAGAACCTGCTTTTACACTCTCATGACTGGGAAGTAGAGAGTACTAGCAGTGAGTCAAAATCCAGTTCTTCTAGCAAGTATCGTCCAACATGGAGACCCAAACGAGAGTCTCTGAATATTGACAGTATTTTTAGTAAAGACAAAAGGAAGCATTGTGGCTATACTCAGCTCAGCCCATTTTCTGAGGATTCAGGTGAGGAGATAATTAGGGAAGAACTGGGCTTTTGAATAAAGTTTATTTATGTACTAGAGGCCCGATGCACGAAATTCGTGCAAGAGTAGGCCTTCCTTCCCCCAGCTGCCAGCACTGGCTTCCCTCTGGCACCCGGGACCCGGGCTTCCCTCACAGCCCTGGCTTCATCCAGAAGGACGGAAGAACATCCTGAAGACATCTGGTCTAATTAGCATATTATGCTTTTATTAGTATAGATTAAAAAAAACCTGGGTTTTCTGGTAGACTTGACAAGGTCCATTTTCACCCCATTGTTGGGTCTTTTGGGGATATAATTTTAGTAAATGAATAGCTGGCGGGAGGTGTTAGTCATGTCTTCATTTGAAGCAGATGCTAACTATCTCCTTTTTCATAATTGTGCTTTGATCGGGATAGCGAAAGAATTTACACCAGATGACCTAAGCAAGCCACCTGCTTATGACCTTAAAACTGGTGGACCAAGCCCCCAATACAAGCCTTGGGGCCCAGGACGGCCAGGCTCTTACCTTTTAGAGCAGCACCCTCGCCTAATCCAGCGAATGGAATCTGGCTATGAGAGCAGTGAGAGGAACAGCAGCAGCCCTGTCAGCCTGGATGCAGCCCTGCCTGAGAGCTCCAGTGTCTGCAGGTATTGTTTGACCTTTGAATAGCGGCATTGTCCCTTGCAGCAGTATGAGCCACCAAGAGGCTTATCAACTCCCGCAAGTAGAGGGGGCATTTTATTACCATCTTGTGTGCAAGCAAAGTATTGTGCTCTGTCAACCTTCTATGACAACAGCCCCCTCTGCTGGGAGAAAGAGCAATGGCATTTGAGAAAGGAGAGAGGAGAGACTACTTTATTTTTATTGTTGACTCTATTACAGATGTCCCCCATTTCTCCCTTCCTCCCCCCTCAACTTTGCCTCTCTTTACCCTACTCCCACCCCACTAGGCCTTCACCCCATTATTGTCTGTGTCCAGGGGCTATCGGGGTTGATCTCTTCCCGCACTTCCCACTCTCCTCCCCTCTGAGATCTGTTAGTCTGTTCCATTTATTCATTAGCTTCTAGTCCCTATTTTGTCAGTTTATTTTGTTCTTTAGATTCCACATATAAGTGAGATCATGTGATACTAGTCTTTCTCTGAATGGCATATTTCGCTTAGCATAATAATCTCCAGGTCCATCTATGCTGTCTCAAAGTGTAAGAGTTCCTCCTTTTTTACAGCCATGGCACTTGGGCTGTTTCCAGATCGTCGCTATTGTAAATAATGCTTCTATGAACATAGGGGTGCATATATTCTTTCTGATTGGTGTTTTGGGATTCTTAGGATATGTACCCAGAAGTAGGATTGCTGGGTCAAAAGGCAGTTTCATTTTTAATTTTTTGAGGAAACTCCAAACTGTTTTCCACAGTGGCTGCACCAGTCTGCATTCCCACCAGCAGTGCAGGAGGGTTCCCTTTTCTCCACATCCTCGCCAGCACTTGTTGTTTGTTGATTTATTGATAGTTGCCATTTTGACCAGTGTGCGGTGATGCCTCATTGTAGTTTTTATTTGCATTTCTCTGATGATTAGTGACCTTGAGCATTTTTTCATATGTCTATTGCCCATCTGTATGTCCTCTTTGGAGAAGTGTCTATTCAGGTCCTTTGCCCATTTTTTAGTAGGATTGCGTGATGAGATATATAAGTTCTTTATATATTTTGAAGATTAACCCCTTATCTGATGAATATGTTCTCTCATATGGTGGGTTCCCTTTTTGTTTTGTTGATGATTTCTTTTGCTGTGAAGAAGCTTTTTAGTCTGATGTAGTCCAATTTGTTTTTTTTTTTCTTGTGTTTCCCTTTTTCTTGGAGACATATCGGCAAAAATATTACTCCGTGAGATTTTACTGCCTATGTTTTCTTCTAGGATTTTTATGGTTCCATGACTTACATTTAGGTCTTGTATCATTTTGAGTTTATTCTGGTATATGGTATAAATTGTTGGTCTAGTTGCATTTTTTGCATATACCTGTCCAATTTTCCCAGCACCATTATTGAAGAGACTATTTTTACTCCATTGTATGCTCTTGCCTCCTTTGTCAAATATTAATTGACCATAAAGGCATGGGTTTAGTTATAGGCTCTCTGTTCTGTTCCATTGATCTATATGCCTGTTCTTATGCCAGTACCAGGCTGTTTTGATTACATTGGCTTTGTAGTATAGTGTAATATTGGGTATTGTGATCCCTCCAACTTTGTTCTTCTCTCTCAAGAATGCTGAGGCTAGCCCTAACCAGTTTGGCTCAGTGGATAGAGCGTCGGCCTGCGGACTGAGGGGTCCCAGGTTCGATTCTGGTCAAGGGCATGTGCCTTGGTTGCAGGCACATCCCCAGTGGGGAGTGTGCAGGAGGCAGCTGAATCGATGTTTCTCTCTCATCGATGTTTCTGGCTTTCCGTCCCTCTCCCTTCCTCTCTGTAAAAAATCAAATATATTATATATTTAAAAAAGAATGCTGAGGCTATTTGGGGTATTTTTTGTTCCATATAAATTTTTGGAGTGTTTGTTCTAGATCTGTGAAATATACCATTGGTATTTTAATAGGGATTGCTTGAATCTATAGATTACTTTGGGTAGCATGGACATTTTAATGATGTTGATTCTTCCAATCCATGAAAACAGTATATGAGTCCACTTGTTTATATCTTCCTCTATTTTTTTTTTTAGTGACCTATAATTTTCCGAGTACAGGTCTTTTACCTCCTTGGTTAAGTTTATTCCTAGGTGTACCTTATTTTCATTGTTGTTGCAATGGTAATTGGATTGTTTTCTTGGTTTCTCTTTCTGAGAATTCATTATTGGTGTATAAAATGCTACCGATTTCTGAATATTAATTTTGTACCCTGATACTTTGGCAAATTTATTAAATGTAGTAGTTTTTTGGTGGAATCTTTATGGTTCTCTATATACAATATCATGTCATCTATGAATAATGACAGTTCTACTTCCTCCTTTCCAGTTTGGATGTGTTTTATTTTTTCTTCTTGTCTGATCACTATGGCTAGGACTTCCAGCACTATGTTGCATAAGAGTGGAGAAAGCAAATATCCCTGTTTTGTTCCTGAGCTTAAGAGAAACACTTTTAGTTTTTGCCCATTGAGTATGATGTTGGCTGTAGGTTTTTCATATATGATTTTTATTATATTGAAGTATGATCCCTCTATTCCCACCTTGCTGAGAGTTTTTATCAAAAACGGGTGCTGGATTCTGTCAAATGCTTCTTTTCTGTGTCTATAGATATGATCATGTGATTTTTATCCTTCATTTTATGTATGTGATGTATCAAATTTATTGATTTGTGATTTGATTACATCCCCAGCATAAATCCCACTTGGTCCCATTGTGTGATCTTTTTAATGTGTTGCTAGATCTGATTTGCTAATATTTTGTTGAGGATTTTAGCATTTATGTTCATCAGGGATATTGGCCTATAATTTCTTTCTGTGTAGTATCTTTGTCTGGTTTTGGAATTAGGATAATGCTGGCTTCGTAAAAAGAGTTTAGAAGTCTTCCTTCCTCTTTAATTTTTTGGAATACTTTGAGAAGGATAGGGGTTAGGTCTTCTTTGACTGTTTGGTAAAAATCACCTGTGAAGCCATCTGGTCCAGGACTTTTGTTTGCTGGGAGTTTTTTTATTTTATTATTATTGCTTCAATTTCATTAGTTGTTATCAGTCCATTCAGGTTTTCTAATTCTTCCTGATTCAGTTTTGGAAGAGTGTATGCTTCTAGGAATTTGTCCATTTCACCCAGACTGTCCAATTATTGGCATATAGTTGCTCATAGTATTTTCTTACAATCCTTTGTATTTCTATGATGTCAGTTGTTTACCTCTTTCATTTCTGATTTTATTTGGGTCCTCTCTATTTCTTAATGAGTCTGGCTAACAGTTCATCATCTTGTTTATCTTTTCAAAGAACCAGCTCTTGGTTTTGTTGATCTTTTGTATTGTTGGTGTTTTTTTTTAGTCTCTATGTCATTTATTTCCGCTCTAATCTTATTTTCTTCCTTCTACTTACTCTCAGCTTTTCTCGTATTTTTTTTTCTAGTTCTTTTAGTTGTAGGGTTAGATTGTTTACTTGAGATTTTTCTTGTTTTTTAAGATAGGCCTGTAATGCTATGAACTTCCCTCTCAGGACTGCTTTCACTGTATCCCATAGATTTTGGTTTGTTGTGTGTTTGTTTTCATTTGTTTCCAGGAAGTTTTTTATTTCTTCTTTGATCTTATTGGTAACCCATTCATTGTTTAATAATGTACTATTTCGTCTCCATGTGTTTGAATATTTTTGAGTTTCTTTTATTGTAATTGATGTCTAGTTTCATGCCACTGTTATCCAAGAAGATGCTTGATATGATTTCAATCTTTTTGAATTTGTTAAGACTTACTTTGTGTCCTAAGATGTCATAGGAGAGACAACTTTTAAAGTATTATGTATAAAATAATTGTTTAGTAAATAATTTTTAATAAAAAAATGGATTAGTGAATCAAAACTTATAGAGTCCTAAGATCAGAGATAAAACCCAATTGTTACTTATTCTTGTCTTCCATTTTAGGATAGGTTCTTGCTTTTGGGGGACCCTGTGTTTTATAAAGCCAATGATATTCATAATTACATAAGGTAACAATGACAATTTAATATTGCTCATTGGCTGGGTAGCTCAGTTGGTTAGAGCATCGTCCTGATATGCCAAGGTTGCAAGTTCAGTCCCCACTCAGGGCAAATACAAGTATCAACCAATGAATGCACAACTCTCTCTAAAAATCAATAAATAAAAATAAATAGTGCCCTTGCATCTTGTCCATAGGGCCCAGTTTGCTTTATAAATTTCAGCTCTCCATATATTGTTTTTACTGAGTTGTCACAGAGGCAAGTTTCCTAACAGTACAACTTTGAAAGGAGTGATTATATCTTCTGCAGGGGTGATAACCACATCCTCATACTTTCCCACTGCTCTTCTCTGTCCACTGGACCCTGTTCAGTTTTTTTTTAATATATACATATATATTAGTGACTCATTGTGCGAAATCGCGCGAGACCCAGACCTGCAGGAAATCGCGCCAGACCCAGGACCCCACACCGCCGCGCTGCAAGACTCCCCTAAGTCCTGCTGCGCCGCGCGAGACCCAGAGTCAAATCTCCGCCCACCCACGCACGCCTCGCTGTGAACGCAGCCTCACCCACCCACACGTGCCTCACCGAGCATGCAGCCTCCTGGTGACCCGTCTTTGGTCATTATGGCATTAGGGCCACTGGGTTTTTATTATATATATATAATATATATATACACACACATATATATATATTTATATATATTTTTAAAATATATATTTATTGATTTCAAAGAGGAAGAGAGAGGGATAGAGAGATAGAAACATCAATGATGAGAGAGAATCATTGATTAGTTGCCTCCTGCATGCTCCACACTGGGGATCAATCCCACAATCCGGGCATATGCACTGACCAGGAATTGAACCACAATCGCCTGGTTCATAGGTCAATGCCCAACCACTGAGTCACACCAGCTAGGCGGACCTTTTTCAGTTTTACTCATGAGAATATGTTACAAAGGAATAAGAAAGAAGAAGACAATCCATATTAGAGCATATGTTTATTAATTCATTAAATAAGGTTTGTGCTAGATGCACAAAATGTGATTGAGGTGAAATAAGATGGGGAATAAGTGAGTATTTCAGTTTTTTCAGAAATAGTTTAGCAGATACTTTAATTACACTAATTCAATAATTTGTTGGTTTTTTGAGGGAATTTTGTCCTAAGAATGTTGCTAGTTATCACTCTTCTACTGCTTTCACTAGACTCTAGTTTCTCTTTTGAAGGGATCCAAGTGCTAAGAGATCAGCTGGGTTGGCACCTTCCTGGCGTCACATCCCAAAATCTCACAGCAGTAGCATCCTGGAGGCGGACTCCAGGAGTGTCTGGACAAAGAATCAGCCCCTATCAGGTAAGCAAAAGGACAATGGATTTGGAGGACTTGATTTGTCTGCCAATTTTATTTGGGAAACAGCCTTACCTGAGAACATATGAAATTAGAGGACAGTTGCACTTTGAGTATTCCATCAGAATGTAAATGTGGAGGCATTTGAGCTGCTTTGGATGATCTATTTTTGGTTTATCACACCTTGCCTGATTGTTTCTTTCTATCTTGGAAAGACCCCTTGTGGGAGCAAGAAGGAACAGAAATTTGGTGAATGGTGTCAGTAGCATCTGCATTCTGCAGAAAAATAAGTCTAGGGCTTTCCTTGGTGTAGAGGCAGCCTCTTGGAAATGTATTTCTTATTGTTTAGTACTATGAATTGAGATAACACAGGGGGACATGTAGACTGTGGAAAAACTGAGAAATAAGTAGGTCAAACCTACCCTTACCCCTGCCTCCATACCCTGTGCAGTACCCTTGTTCTCTTTTTCCTTCTTGAGTTGCCTTGTTTCCTCATGCTCCCTCTTCCTCAAAACAAGCTCTGAAGGAATGATGTGACTCCCTCATATTAAATATAAGTGACTGAAAATAGTTTAAAATATGCTTTCTCTAAGAGTAGCATTTTAACAAGTCAAAATCTGAAGATAAGGGAATACTGGAGTTTCAGATAGAGATTTGAGGTAATCATAGGTTTTAGCTCCTTTTTACATTTCTCTCACAACACACGTATACTTCTAGTGCATATTCCACTTAAGTAGAGACCCAGTCCAAATGAGGAGGAAGAAGGAGAGAGAAAGAGACATCAGTGATGAGAAAGAATCATTGATTGGCTGCCTCCTGCATGCCCCCTATTGGGGATCGAGTCTGCAACCCAGGCATGTGCCCTTGACTGGAACTGAACCCAGGACCCTTCAGGCCAACAGGCCAACGCTCTATCCACTGAGCCAAACCAGCTAGGCCTGATCACTCTTGTAAAAAATTACATAAGTAAAATTGATCCAACGATTCAGTAACCTGCCCATTGCCTTTTCAAATTCAGGGTACCAGTGTTATGATTATGGTATATCTCTCTCTACATCTTTCTCTATGCTAATATAAGTATATAATTAAGTTTATTACTACTGTTTCTTAAAAAAATAAAATGAAGTCATACTATAGCTATTAATCTGTTATTTTGATTTTTCACTAAATATAGCATGAACATCCTTTAGATCTATGAACACTGATAAAATTAAATTTTTACTACTGTGGACATTTTACAAACTCATTAAAGAGAAGGTAGAAAGTAAGGATGCGGAATTGACTTGCTCGAAGCTTCCCAATGTATCAGTGACAGCATGTGGTAGAGAATGCTCCCTAATGGTTAAGAGCATGGATTATGAATTTGACTTGCTTAACTTTAATTCAGCTCTACCATTTACCATTTGTGTTACCGTGGGCAATTATTTACCCTCTTTTTGACTTAGTTTCTTCATTCCTAAAATGTGGGCAGTAATAGTATTTACCTCATAGTTTGTTGTGAGAATTAAATGGAATACTATATGTAAAAGTGCTTAAAACTGTGCACTTTTATAGTAAATGCTCAACAAATGTTAGTTGTCATGTTGTTACAAAACACTCAATAAGTGTTTTTTATTATTATTACTAGAGACCCGGTGCACGACATTCATGCACTGAGGGGGGGTGCAGCCTTAGCTCGGCCTGTGTTCTTTTGCAGTCCAGGAGCCTTGGGGGATGTCGGACTGATGCAGAGACAGGAAAGGCTCCTGCCACCACCGCTGCAGCACCGCTGTGCTCACCAACTGTCACCCTGGCCTCTGGCTGAGCAGCACTCCCACAGGGAGTGCACTGACCACCAGGGGTAGCTCCTGCATTGAGCATCTGCCCCCTGGTGATCAGTGCACATCATAGCGACCAGTTGTTCCACCATTCAGTCAATTGGCATATTACCCTTTTATTATATAGGATTATTATTATTCACAGCCCAGGTCTCACACTGAATCTGATATGGAAAGCAGTATTCAAAACATGAATTTCACATGGAGCCAAGAGTTCCAAGGGAAAAGCAGTACAGTGGCTGTACCTGCTGCAGAGGTTTAGTCTTGGTTATGGAAATGTGGTAACTTCCCTTCTCCCTTGCTTGCATTCCAGGTGGGGAGACACCTGCCAAAAGTGAACTGGATGAATTGCAGGAAGAGGTGGCCAGGAGGGCCCAGGAACAGGAACTTCGAAAGAAACAAGAGAAGGAATTAGAGGCAGCTAAAGGGTTTAACCCTCATCCCAGCCGCTTTATGGACTTGGATGAACTGCAGAATCAGGGTAATTGTTGTGAGCATTAGATTATTGGTGATGGGGACAGCGAGAGAGGGAAGAAAAAAATATTCAAGCTCATAAATTTCCTGTCTTCATTTTATTAGCAAAGTTATATTTTATTTTAATTCCGCCATTTTCATGAGAGCTAGTTAAAATAGGAGGTAACAGGCCTCTTGATTGGAGACAGGCACTGCTTTGGGGCCCATCTATTTAAGGCGTATAGATTAGAGATAGTATATTGTTTGTGAAAAATATTTCCCATGAACATCTATAGAAGGTGTAAATAAAACTAGTCACAGTTCAGACAGCAGGAAAGGGCAGTGTGCAAGCCACACTGACCGGAGAATTCTACTTGCTGGGCAGAAACATACCTTCAGGATTTCCCACCGGAGTTCTAGGGAAGTCAATCTACCAAACAGGTTCTAGGAACATAGAACCTGATTGCCTTCTGGTCCTCTGATGATCCATTTCCCAATCTCTATGATTTTCATGTGCTTTCCTTAAATTTCTTAACTGCCCCACATCTGTCACTTTTTTCCTCCAATTGCTTTAGGATGTCTCTTTGTACAAGGTCAGACTAACCTTCAAAACAGGAGTTCAAAAAAGCTGAGCTATTTATTTAGGCCCTGAAACCTATATCTCTGTTGTGTATTTTTTAATAAAATGAATTTATTATTTTCATTATTCAGAATTCCTGGATCTAACAAATTGTGCTAAACCAGCATAAAGAATAGGAGTCAATGCTATTTTGGGTGGCTGCTTTCTGTTGATCACTTTCCCCTTTTTACTTAGAGAAGCTTCCTGGGCTAATTTGGGGGCCACTTTTCTCCTGTAATCTTGCAGACTTTTGATTTAAGTCTATTGTTGACTTTTATTTACCAAGGCATTGTATTTATCAGTTTTAAATTCCTCATTCCTTAGCTATCCCTAAGGATAGTCTTTTCTTCCTGTTTATCCTCAAGATGTATTGCATTGGATCTCAGGTTTATGCTGCTTTTGAAAGAGGAGCCTTTTCATCTCCCTCCCTTGCCTTTTTACCTCCCTTTGTCTGTAGGGTAGTAAGTACTTTAAGGTTGAGATGGAATCCCTCTGGCTATATTTCATTTTCAATTTTCCATACACTTTGGTTCAGTATCTTTTGAAAAAGCAAGAAATGGAGTGCTAAGATTCTAGAGGATACGAATTAAAATGTAGTACAGTGATTGGTCAACTATAGTTTCCCTATATCTCTGTAGAAAACTTTAATGACTGTGGCCACCACCTGTTATTATAAAGGTTGAATAGAGTCAGTTGATTTCAAATAATATGAGGAATTCAGCCCTGGAGGTCGGGGGATTACGTCTCTGGAGGTGGCATAGAACCTGAATGCTAAGTTCTTCAGAACCAACTTGCTATTTCCACCACCTTCCCATTACTCTTCAAGAGCCATGGTCAATTAGGGAGTGAACGTTAGGGGTGTGGAAGAGCCTTTCTTTCCATGTCCAACTAAAGGTAAGTGGAGGATTAAGACATTATGGGAGAAATGAGTGACATTTTGACTTTTTTTGTGTGTGTGTGTGAGCTTGGGGAAACTCACCACTAATCCCAATTGTAGATGAACTTATATTACAGCTTACTACCAATCAATGGTTATTGAAGGCAAAGGGGTACCTAAACTTGAGGAACCTTTTGCAGAAGTTGCCCTTACAGTACTTTCTTGCTTTTTCATCTGGCTCTGTACTTGGACTCTCCTGCACCTGCTTTGGCACGCATTCACTTTCAGGGGAGGAAGGAATAGCTCATGCTCTCTGTATGGGAATGTAACTTGTGAGGTAGGTTTGGTGAGCAAGGACATGATAAAAGTAAATACTTAGCTGTGCTGATGAAAGATATGTGGATGCAAACCAACAACAAAGGCAGTTCAACAGATATATTGAAGTTAGGAACTGTAGACTCCCTGTGCCCAGGAGGTGTCCTGGTCTTCCAGATGAGGGTGTTTAGAAAGGACTGTGAATTGATGTAGGAATGAAGTGTTAACAGATGGCTTTTCAGAGTAGTGAAGCCACTTTTGCCTTAACACAGCAGCTGAGGTTTCTTGGAGATCTGGGGTGTTCTGATACTGGTTGGCAAGATTGTGGAAAGGATGGTCAATTCAGGCATAAGAATCTACCTTCTGCTCTAGACAGTGCTTTATTCTTTCCTTGAGGTCTTGGAGTTGGAATATGTGGTGGACAATGACATACCCTCTTTCATGGCCTTGGGTAAGGTGTCAGTTAAGGCAAAAATGGATGTTCTACGTGTTTCAGAGAATTCTTAATAGCAATGGACAGTTGGAATAAGGGTAGACCGAAGGCTCAGCAGCAGGGATCTCTGGGCATTGAAGGGAAACAACAGTACATAGGAAAAGTTGGAAGCAATTGTAATGAAAATGAAAAGTGCTGGCCCTTTCAGGGAGGAGTGACGGCTTTGAGAGGTCCCTGAAGGAGGCAGATTCAATATTTGAAGAGTCACTGCATCTGGAACAGAAGGGAGACTGTGCTGCAGCCTTGGCTCTCTGTAACGAAGCCATCTGTAAGTAACTCTAACCACTATGCCTATGGCACTTTTGATTAACTTCATAACAGGTATTAGTGTCGTCCCACTCAGGTGGGATAAAAGCAGCTTTTATGTCTCCTCACTCATTCTCCCAAAGTGAGAGGCCCTTTCGCTATCTTTGCCCTTCGGAGTTCTACTAGTCAGTGTGCCAGGCACTGACACTGTGGCCTATGGGTATTTACTGGAATAATCTCAGCAGGAGCCCACAGATGAGTCACCCAGCCAGGCCTACCTTCTTATCCCAGGATAAGTTAGACCTCAGATGTGAGGTTGGCTTGCTCTTTCTCTAGTCACTGACTAGTGAGGTGCAGCTTATGGCAGGAAAGAAGGAATGAATTGACTGCGACTTCGCAGGCCTGTGACTTCGCACTGCATATTTGGTTCTTTACGTTTTCCCCTGCCTTTCTGGTGTGCCGCACCATTAGGGTACAACAAGGGACTAAGGCTTAGAAATTGTATCTGGTTCGTAAGTGGGACCCACGAGAAGCTGTGTTCTGTAAAGACACATGTAGGAGTGGGTCTTATTTCTGCTGTTGGCCTCCAGGAAGGGGGAGTTGGGAGCAGAGTGTGGAGACCAGAGTCGGACAGATCAGTTGCAAAGGACAAGAGTGGCAACCTCTAAGATGGAAGCACCGATTTACCTTCCTAATTCATTTTAGTTTAACTTTTTGTTTGTTTTTAAAATTTGAATTAACCTGTTTAGCCTCCATGGCTTCTGCGAATGTTCCTTATAGCCAGGGCCAGCTCTGTGCCCTGACAGCATATGCATGGTCCACGCCTTACATTTCTGCTGCATCTTTTGAGTTTTACTGCATATCTTTGCTCATTTTTGGTTCAATTTTATTCTTTTTACTTTTGTTTGTATTTTGTGTTCTGTTTCTGCTATATTTTCTTTTGCATTTTAGCTAAACTAAGACTTGCCCTGCATGGTGCCAGCTCTAGCACGCACAGCAGAGCCCTAGTCGATAAGAAGTTGCAAATCAGTATTCGAAAAGCACGGAGCCTGCAGGATCGCATGCAGCAGCAGCAATCATCGCAGCAGCCGTCGCAGCCCTCAGCCTGCCTCCCCTCACAGGCAGGGGCCCTCCCTCAGCCAACAAGGTAGTGCCTGGGAACCACAGTAGTTCATGTTTGCCAGGGGAGGAAGAGCCCAGGGGTGCTCCATAGCCAGAGCTCTCATTGTCTTGGCGACTACAGGGGAGAGAAGACTCCTCTGAAAAAACTTCTTCTCTTAGGTCAGACATACAGTGAAAGCTCATCCCACTGCTGGTTCTTTTCTTAATAGTTCCTGGAAAGATGTAGGAAATGTAGCATAATAAATAGACCATTTGTTCGTATTTCCTGTGGGGGCATTTGTCCCCGGATTTGTGTAGTAGCATGATTATTAAATTTGTACATATGACATTCTTAGACATGGCAATCCAAGCTACATTTCATGTTGCAGTAGCAGCCATGTGAATTATTTTGGGATTTCAGTGGCTTATTGTCCCTCATGGAAGCAGAGAAAAGAGTTTCTTGCTCTGATGAAACCATAGAGAAGTGACACGAAGATTTCCTTTGTTTTGCTTTGCTATGGTTAGGACTGGCCATTAGTGTAGTTCTCACATTTTAGCCCTTGAATTTGGCTGTTCCTCAGAATAGGTAGATTTAAGTAAAAGTAAATATTGGCTGTTAATAAACCTGAGTAGTTTTCAGAACATAAACATTATAAAAGCAGCTAGCATTTTTTGGACATCTGCCTATGCTCAGGCACTAAGCTTAAACACTTTATGTTTTATTGTATTTAATTCTCACAATAAACTTAGGATAAGGACTATTATTTAGTGATACTGTATAAATAAAGAAATCAGACTTAGAGGATAAGATAAGTATGGTACTATTATTTAGTGATACTGTATAAATAAAGAAATCAGACTTAGAGGATAAGATAAGTAAGGTACCCAGTATTATTCAGCTAATAAGTGGTAAAAGTGTGGAATTCAAATCCAGGTAGGTCTATTTGACTTCATTAGGCTTCTCATATAAATATAATATCATATTTTCCATAATATTGTAAGAGTAACTGAGTGACTGTACCCACAAAAGTTTATAGCATATTGTCATTTAAATGTAATTCTTTCATTGTATACTCCACCAGCAGAATGTTATTATGAGAACCTGATCAGATATGTTTGAATATAAGCAATTTAGGCAACTGAACTCTTTCCAGAAAACTTATGCCACTTGCTGTATGTGAGTGACTGAGGTTTTATTTTAGTTCTTCTAATACAATTTTTAGGTCAGAAATACAAAACAATTAGTAAGAAACCAATAAATACAGTTAATCCTGACTTCCACTCCCAAATTCCAAGACAGTCACAGTACCTTACTTTGGGGAAACATCTCAGTGCATAATACAACCAAATTCAGATTATGAGAACATACTTGAAATGGTTGATTTTTATGTAACCTCATGAACCCAAATTACCCTGTACTATGGCCTTTTGGTTCTTTTGGCTGTTCTGCCTCTTAGGACTCCAGGTATGAGTGATTTCTAGGTTTTGCTTACTTCCCAGGTCATCTGCATGTGGGACTAGCAATTTTTTTTTAAATTTGCAAGTAAAATATGATTGGAATAGGACTGTGTGGGTAGTAAAGAATATTGGCAAGGGCTTTACTTAATATTACTGAGTGCAGTTTTGGTGAGGGCATGTAATAAAGAGGATTAATATTTAATTGAGGGCATGTAATAAAGAGGATTAATATTTAATTGGGGGTGAGCAGACCATGTGCCTTCTCTTGTGAGCCACTGAACTGTTGACTTAGTTGTGCTTGTCTTTCCATTTATTTTCACCATTCCCTCGGTGGATAGCTAGAACTTGGAACTGAATGAACAGATTTTTGTAAGTGATCTTGTCAATCAAGACAGCTTACAACTGGCTCTCTCCCTTTATTTCAGTGAACAGCCTATCCCGCTCCAAGTATTGTTAACCCGGGAGGCCCAACTGGAACCCTACACGAATACAGAGTTTGGGGCCAGTTCTTTCGTCTACTCATCTGCTTCCTGCCATGAGTCACACTCATCACTGTTCTCAGAGTCATCTGCCCTCTCTGCCCCACAGCATAATTCCCCCAGTAGGTCTGCCTCGAACCTTCTTAATTCAGTTGAGGTAGATAGCATTGACCCCTCTGTGTTCCACAGGCAGGGCTTACCTAAAACACCAGGGAGGACTGAGAAGAACTCTCAGCATGCTTGGGAACCATTGGATGTACAAGAGGGTAAGCTGCAAGGCTACAGGGATGATAAGAGCAGCTGCAACAGGTTCCCCCCTCAAGAAGGAAGAGGCATTGATCAAGAAGAGCTATTTCAAGAAAAGAGGGATACTTCTGGCTCATCCCAGGTGATGCCTTGGTCACATCCAACTGGAACAGCTGGGTGTGAGAGAGGAGATGCACACACCCTAAGCTGTAGTCCTGCAAGTTCATCAGCTCAGCCTGGCCTCCCCCTTTACAGAGCCTGCCACCCTATAATGCCTGCTGCTTCCTCATCTGTGTTTCACTCTCCTGATACTGTGCAGAAAACTAACCAATGCCTCCAAGCCAACAGCCTCACAACTTTGTTGACGTCAAAAGTGGACGGAAGCAGTGAGGAGCCCTGTAGGCCAGAGTTTCCGGGCACAAAGGGGCTTGTTCGCTCTCTGACAGAACAGTTCCAAAGGATGCAAGGCGCCACCACAAGGGATGGCACAGGCTCCCAGGATAGAAGTTTTCCAAATAGTCGAAAGAAGAACTCTTCTCCTTCTGACTCTCAGCCTCCTTTCCCACAAGGTCAAGGGAAAGGCCATTGGCCTTGGGTTAAACAGCAACCCTCTGTGGATGGTAGGGACAGACTGCCTTCCCGGGAAGAAACTCCTGATCATCCTTCCCTTGCGATGAACTCTGGGCTACCTAATGGTGAAACTTCTTGGGGAGGACAACCCAGGTTGGCAGAGCCAGATAGGTACCAAAGGAAGCCATCTCAAGTAAGAGATGCTAGGCCTAAGGAATTGGGCAGCAATGTTGACTTGGGGACTCCCTTGCCTTTGGATTCCTGGGTGAATGTCACAAGGCTCTCTGATTCTCAGCTTAAACATGGAGCCCCTGGGCCAGAAATGAAGTCCTCCCTGAAAAATCCCCGTACTTGTGTAGCCTATCCAGACAGAAACCACATCTTTTTTCATCCACATTGGAACCAAGATACAGAGCAGGAGACCTCAGAATTGGAGTCTCTCTACCAGGCCAGTCTTCAGGCTTCTCAAGCAGGCTGGTCTGGATGGGGGCAGCAGGATGTGGCCTGGCATCCACCTAGCCAAACAGGTAAGTGTGCTACCTGGGGTGAGGGGTTGGGGCACATATAAAAGCTGAAAGCATGAGGACAAGATCAGAGGTGGGGTGGTGTTCTGTCCAAATAGTATCCCCAGCTTAGGAGGTGGTAGTAAAACTTTTGACTTTATTTGTAAAGACTTCAGGACAAGGGCTAGATATTTTCTGGCTAGAGTAAAGAATGGAGACAGAATCATCACTCATGGGCCCATTCGCTCCTTCTAAAGAGAGAGACCATTGAGTATATACCAGAGCTTCTTCAATATACACTAAGGAATGGCACATATGTCTTTGAGAGTAACTGGTGTGACATGGGTGAGGGAGACTTCCATGGCTTAGAAGCTAAACTAATCCCAAGATCCAGCTTCCAGATCCAACTTGCAGTGAGGATGTGCCCGTTGAGTCAAGTCTGCAAAGGGCATTATCAGATCATACTGAACCAGCAATATCAAGACCTTCCCTGATCCCTCCAGGAACTGTCAGGTTTAGAATTTTCAAGGTAGTATGCCTTTAGGGTACTCGCTCGCTGACTTTTCATGAGATTTTATTGTGTGAATTCTTTTTTTTTTTTTTTTTTTTTTTTTAAATATATTTTATTGATTTTTTACAGAGAGGAAGGGAGAGAGATAGTTAGAAACATTTCAAAGCCTGAACTATCGTTAACTGTCAGTATACATTTTTTTTTTAAATATATTTTATTGATTTTTTACAGAGAGGAAGGGAGAGAGATAGAGAGTTAGAAACATCGATGAGAGAGAAACATCAATCGGCTATTGTGTGAATTCTATACTTTAAATGCATATTACAGACTTAGTTCTAGATATTGAATAAATGAAGAATATTTATAGCTTAGATTGATGAACTTAAGAATTTCAAAGCCTGAACTATCGTTAACTGTCAGTATACATTTGGACAAGTCACTTAATATCCCAGTATCAGGTTTTTACCTATAAAAAGGGAAAATTAGTTCAATGATTTTTTTTTTAAGATACCTTCCAACTCTTAAAATATGTATGATTCTATGAAATTGAACTCAGAGAACTTTATCTTCAGCTCTGGCCTAGCAGTTTCTATAATAGTATGGGTTCCTTACATGCTGCCAACCAATCTTTAATTACAGCCAAACAAGTATTCAATGAGCACCTATTATGCTCCAAGGAGCTGTAGGGAGATATCACATAAATATGAAATTTGATATCATTTTTAGGATGTGCATCCTAGTGTAGACTTTACAATAACATTTCTTAAGTGCTCCTCAGGTACATGGGGGCAGGACAGTATAAGAAGATTCTAAAGAATGAGGGAAAGCTGGAGTCTGCCTTAGTTAGCTTCCTGTATAATGTAATAGAGAAAAAATAAACAAATGTCAAGTGTCTTAATAATCATAAACACATAAAATTACATTGCAATCTATCTATCTATCTATCTATCTATCTATCTACACTAATAAAAGAGAAACATGGTAATTGGCGTACGACCGCTACCCTTCCCATTGGCTAATCAGCATATCCTTATGCAAATTAACTGTCAGCCAAGATGGCGGCCTGCAGCCATGCACTGAAGCGAGCAGGGAGGCTTGCTTGCTTCAGTGACTGTGGACTCCAACATTCCCCGCCTCACTTGCCGGCCTCTCAGCTGCAAGTCTAAGCAACTATGTACTATGTTGCAAATAAGAAGCTAAACAAAACCCCAGAAACCTGCTTTCAGTCAGCCAGGTTCAGCCAGCCAGACCGCAACATTGTATCGATGTTTTCAGCAGCGAGGCCTCAGAGCTAAAGCTGGCCCAGAATAAAAAAAAAAGAAAAAGAAAACAAGGAGCGGTTGGGAGCTTCAGTCACTTGCCAACCGGAAAACAGCCCTCAGCCCCTCACATAGACTGGCCAGGCACCCCAGTGGGGACCCCAACCCTGATCCAGGACACCCTTCAGGGCAAACCAGCCAGCCCCTACCCATGCACCAGGCCTCCATTCTATATAGTAAAAGGGTAATATGCCTCCCGGCACTGGGATCAGCGGAGCAGCGAGGCTCCCGGCACCAGGATCAGCGTGACAGGGGGCAGCGCCCAAACCCCCTGATCGCCCTGTGGCTCTGTGTGTGACAGGGGGTGGGGCCACAACCTCCCTATCTGCCCTGCTCTGTTCGTGACAGGGGAAGGCGCCCCAACCCCCTGATCAGCCCTGCTCTGTGCCTGATAGGGGGGAGCTCCCCAATCCCCTGATTGCCCTGCAGCTCTGTGTTTGACAGGGTGCAGTGCACCAACTCCCTGATCGGCACTGCTCTGTGTGTGACAGGGTGCAGCGCCCCAACCCCCACCCCCCCACGGGCCCTGCTCTGTGTGAGACAGGGTAGAGCCATAACCTCTCCATCGGCCCTGCCCCGAGTGTGACAGTGGTGGCACCCCAACCCCCTGATCGGCCCTGCTCTGTGGGTGATAGAGGGTGGCGCCCCAACCCCCCTCCACGGGCCTTGCTCTGTGTGTGACATGGTAGAGCCATAACCTCCCCATTGGCCCTGCCCTGAGTGTGACAGGGTGCAGCGCCCCAACCCCCTGATCCATCCTGCTCTGTGTGTGACAGGAGGCGGTGCCCCAACTCCCCTATGGGCCCTACTCTGTGAGTGACAGGGGGGAGCTCCTCAACCCCATGATGGGCCCTGCTCTGTGTGTGACAGGGGGGAGCTCCCCAACCCCCTGATCGACCCTGCTCTGTGTGTGACAGGGTACGGAGCCCCAACCCCCCTGATGGGCCCTGCTCTGTGAGTGACAGGGGGCAGAGCCCCAACCCCCTGTTCAGCCCTGCTCTGTGCGTGACAGGGGGTGGCGCCGCAACCTCCCCATCGACCCTGCCTTGAGTGTGACAGGGGGCGGTGCCCCAACCCCCCAATCGGCTCTACCCTGAGCATGACTGAGGGAGGCATCGCAACCTCCCGATCCGCCCTGCTCTGTGCATGACGGGGCGGCGCCCCAACTCCCCAATCGGCTCTGCTCTGAGCCTGACCAGGGGCTGCACATAGGGATTGGGCCTGCTCTCTGCCACCTGGGAGCAGGCCTAAAGCCAGCAGGTCATTATCTCCTGAGGGGTTCCCAGACTGTGAGAGGGCACAGGGCCGG